CAGGCAGAGCCAGCAACATGGAAGAGAAGGCAGCTTAGAGATGGATCAGGACCTAGGGGCAGGTGATACGGGCAAAGATGAGGGAGGTGGAGGGTCCTAGCACTAGACACTTGGCTGGCTTGGTGGGAGGGAGGACAGCAACCCCACTTGCTATGACTGCTGCACAACAGAGAGGGCTAGAACTTCCTCACACACTGCAGGACACTCCAGAGTCAAACATTCTCAGGGAGACCAGAAACAAGGATACTGACCTCCATGCCCCAAAAAATGGCAATGAACAGCACCCCTCTTGCAGGCCAGTGGGACAAAAAGATGTAATAAATGTAACACATTAGAGCCCAGCCTAGCCCAGGTGGATGTTCAGCAAAGAGTCCATGCTATGGTGAAAGGCTGTCCTGGGGATGTGGTGACAAGCCCGAGGGGCCCAAGGCTTAGGACAGCTCTGATGGTACTGGGTGAAGTGGCACATTCCTAGAGGTCCAAAGAAAGTGCCATGATGGCTGCGCTCCACAGAGAAAGGAGAATATGCAGGAAATTAGAAGACGACATGTCTGTACAAAACACACCTCCCTGTTTAGGAGCTGACAAAATTGCCCTTTCTAAATCCTGCACCATCCATTTGAGCCCAGGTTCCTCCCCACTCCTGTAGAGTACAGGAGAGATGGGAGGTGAGGGGCCACTTAGCACATGATAGCAGAGAGCAGCTCTCTCAGTGTGCTTGTTGCCATCACAGAAATCCCTGGGTACTTCCTGCCACAATCCTGGCAGGTGGAAGTGATAGTACAGGAAAGACAGAATCCAGTCTAGCTAGCCCCTGGGTGACAGGTCAGCTCCAATGCAGAGGGGAGGGTGTAAGCCAGGGTTAGAGAGAGAAATTGAACTCTTCAGAGTTCAGCCCTTACTAAAGCCAGAGAGGTCACAAGTCCACCAAGCTTCACCCAGTCAGTTATGTACACATAAGTGAGACACAGCAGAGGGCATTAGAGACTGGTGACCCAAATTCTCTCTCTAAAGCAGGAGACAGGGCCATTTGCTGGAAGAGAGGAAGTATGAGAAGAGTGAGGAAGGTGTGGGATAGCTGCCATGGTTCATAATATTGAGAGTACAGAATCAACTCGTGAAAAGGTTGCTGCTGAAAATCTTGTGGGGTGAGAACTTGCAAGGGTAATAACTGCACACACAGCGACCAGTCTCTGCTAGCATGGTTGGCACCCTGAGGGTCAGAATGGGAGAGTCAAAGCTGAGGTGAAGCTCAGGGGGCACGAGGTGGCAAGAGAGAGGCAAAGTGATGCAGCCCTGGGAATTGGCTGGAAGAGGAGGAAAACACACCATGGAACCAGGAGGAAAATGGAAGTGTGTGTGGGAGGAGGCTGAGAAGCTTGATGAGCTCAAGGAAGTGGTGGGCATAAGAGGATAACAAAGCCAGAATGGCGGGACCTCTAGCTTTCTGTCCTGTGTTGTCAAATCTCCACAGGGACACAGAGAAGGACTAGGATACCAATGATGCCTACAGGGAAGCGGGTGCTAAAGAGCATGCAGACAATCTGGTGCTGCCATAGTAAAAATTAATGCAGACAAGAAACACCAATAGATGCTAAAGCTAATGGGTGAACAAGTCGGACAAGGAAAGAGATACTGACTTTTTTTTACATAATAATTACATAATTTTTTACATAATTACAGAAGAGAAAAGAGAAACTTTATGGTGGGGAAGTCTGGTGGACACTACCCTGATCAAGTGATCAAAGCAAACATTTTCAGTAATGGGCCAATGTGAAATCACGCTCCACCTAAAAGGATGGAAGGAGAAGAGCACAGCAATCACTTCTCCAATGTTGTTGCCAAAAACGCATAACCTGAACCCAACCCAAGGACATATCAGATGAACAAAAATTGGGGAAGCGTCTATAAAATAAGTGGACCCTAATCCTCAAAAGGTTCAACATCATGAAAGCTAAGAAGAGATTGAAAAAATGTTTCAGACTGAAAGAGAATAAAGAAACATCACAACAAAAAGAAACGTGCTTTTGAATGGGGTCTTTTGCTATAAAGGAAGGACATTACTGGGAGAGCTGGCAAAGCTTAACTGAAGTTTCTAGATGAATGATATATGGGATTTTGTCATACTATTCTGTAACTTTTCTCTAAGATTAAAATTATTTCAAAATAAAATAATTTTTAAAAGTCTAGAATTACACTTCAAATCAGAAAAGGAGTAAGCTAAAACTACTGATAAATCTAAATAACTCATGGGAATTCACTCAGTCTGCTTCAGTGGCTTGGGGTTTGCAGGTTTGGATCCCGGGTGCGGACCTATACACCGCTTATCAAGCCATGCTGTGGCAGGCATCCCACATATAAAATAGAGGAAGATAGGCACAGATGTTAGCTCAAGGCCAATCTTCCTCAGCAAAAAGAGGAGGATTGGCAGTGGATGTTAGCTCAGGGCTAATCTTCCTCAAAAAAAAAAATCTATATAACTCATGAGATGAAATGGTATTCCACACAAAAACTATGTAAAAAGGAGACTAACTTAAAGACTTCCCAGTGTCTTTTGCTTCCCAGAAATCAAGTCTTTTGCAGATTTTCTATCGTACTGACTCTTGGAAGGGAAGGGCAAATGCCATCTTAGATGGAACACTCATGTGTAAGTAATTAATTAACTCTACTTTCTATAAGTGGGTCCCTAGTCCCCTTGATGAATGGGAGAATGGGATGCCAATTAGTAGTTTCTCAGTCTCTTCCTATTTAAAACAGTCTTTTTTTTTTATGTATGCATTCATTCAATTTAAGGTTCAAACCTTGATCAGGACAAGTGCTCCCCTCCAAGGAGTGCCACACACAGACACACACATACTTGCACCTCATGAGGGGAAGGTTGTGGGAAACAAGCACACACCCACATGCCCCTCATCACAACTGTGCTGCTTCTACCAAGCCCAGGGAGCACTGTGCAAGATCTCAGCACTGTCTCTGTTATCTCTGCTGCAAAGTGTTCACATTTTACCTTTCTACTCCCTTTCAGGCTCCTCGGGTGTGGTGGCAGGTGGGAGATGTAGGTCTCCAGCATGACTTCCCAGGATTGTAGACCAGGGATCTGTTGCAGACAACCCACATGGACACTTCCTCCAGCAGTGCTGACATACCATCTACATGGAGCATTGCAAGCAATGATGTGCCCAGCCAGGCCAGCACTTCCCTGCCAGCCTTGCAGAGCTATCATCCTGATGCTATGGACTCTTGTAATCCAAATTTGGAATACAAAACTGAGCAATGACTTGTTTATTCTAAGCCAAATCCAATCTTCCTGCACCCTTGCAGGGATAAAAAAATTACTTCCACTTAGTATCTCGAAAGCATTATCTTTATGAGATGAGATTTTTCTTTCAAATAAAAGCAACAGGGGGTAACAGCAGGAATGGCAGAGTAAGGACCTGTGAAAATTCTCTCCTCCATAAAAGAAACAAAAAGACTAACAAAAATTGTCAAAATAACATTTTCAGAACTTTGAAAATTAACCAAAGTCTGCAACAATTCAAGGAGAATTTATTTTAGAAAAATGGCAGAACGGTAATAAGAACAGTGGCATTTTAACTTGCTCTATTCCCATATCCCTTTACTCAGTTCCACAGTAGGCTTGAAATCCATTAACCCTGAAATGATGGTGAGAACAGCAGCCTGACATCCACTGGAGTGAACAGAATGGGATTAGAGCTCCTCTAAATTTCCTTTACCAGAGAAATGTCACTCTTTCAGCTGTCTGGCAGTAACCCTGGAAAACCCCACCCACAGGTATCGTCTGTAGTTGACCCAATTCAATGTTCCCATAGTGAACAGATCTTTCCCCAAAAGCATTTGTCACAAACAATCAGCAGCAATTGTTTAATATCACAGCTACCTGAAGCAGCAATATCAGTTGGGGCTAACAAGAAGCCAACCAAAAAACTTAAAGGAAAAGCTGGAGAATGAGCTGTCCATCAGGGGTTTTGAAAAGCTCCAAACATTCCTGAGAATTTAGAACCCAGTTGTATGTGCAAGGCTGTGTGCATTTCCAGGGCTGTGCACAGGCCCTGGAAAGACCTGAGAAGGCCCTAAGCTCTCATCTCTGGCTGACCTTGAGGTTCTGCACAAGCAAGAAATAAAGAATAAGAGAGAGATACTGGCTAAATGTTAAAGGCTTATCTCAACATGCACACATAGCCCCTTGGTAAAAACAGGGAAAATTACTTGTTCCAGCCATTGAAGAATATCTCTGTCCAGTCACTAAGCTAACTGAACAGAGAATTCCATAACCACACACAATAAAGAATACAAATTTTACAAAATTAGATCAGGAAAGTGACTTAAAAAAGCAACAACTACCACCCTAGGAAGGGGGAAGAATCTGATTTCCAGAGTTTCCACATTATATTATTTAAAATGTCCAATTTCAAAAAAAACTTATGAGACAGGAAAAGGCATGTATGGCCCAGAAACAAGGGAAAAAATAGTTAATAGGAACCCTCCCTCAAGAAGGCCAGACATTGAACTTCCTGGACAAAGACTTTAAATGAGCTATTTTGAATATGTGCAAAGAACTAAAGGAAACCATATCTAAAGAATTGTATGAAAGTATGAGAATGATGTCTCACAAAACAGAGAATATCAATAAAGAGAAATTATAAAAAAAGAACAAATAGAAATTCTAGAAATGTAAAGTACAATAAATGAAATGAAAAATATATTAGAGCAGTTCAACAGCAGATGTATGCAGAAAGAAAGCCTGTCAATCCAGAATTCTACAGCAAAACAATACTTCAAAATGAAGGAGAGAGCAAAATGGCAAACTAGGAAGCTCCAAGTTTTCATTCTCCCACAGAAACATCAAAAAACAACCAGAAGCTGTTTGAAACTTGGTAGGAGCTGTGGAAACAGTCAAGCTTTATATCAATCAAGCAGAAGCTCAAACAAGAAAAAGCCATCTTCAAAAGGGTAGACAAATTTGGGGGCATTTTACTTGCCTTTGCCCCACTTCCTCCCTGGTGTGAAGGTGGTCTTGGTCTTGAGCAGGAGACAGTCTGCTTTCCATTTCCCTCCAACTCTTCAAACTAGAATGAGGAGAAAAGACTTTATTTGAAAATTATTCTATATGTCTGTTCTAAGTTGTCTGGGGGATACATGAAAGATTGATGCATGACGAAAGGTGCTCATCTCTGTTTCACATAGTTCAGAATGCAGGTGGGAAAGTCAGCAGGCACTGCTCATAAAAGCTACAGGGTGTATTACAAACTCACAGATACTTGGGGCAAGAGATTATAGGTGGAGACACATAACAGATCATCTAAGGCCAGAGAAGAAGCTGGGGTGAGACTCTGGGAAATTAGGACATTCAAAAGTAGCCATGTATACAAAGGAATTTAGAAAGCCACATACATATCCAGGCAAGACAAATGCTCAGAAAACTCCTGAGAACTCAGACTTTCATCTCAAGCTGATCTATAACCCAGAAAAAGCCTAGCTAAGTCATGAAGGAACACCCAAGCACAGAGCCTCTCTTCAAAGACTGCAAGAGGTGGCTGTTCTCTGTTTTGTTTTTGTTTTTGCTGTTTTGTTTCTTTGTTTGCTTCAGCTCCTAGTATTCAAGGAATTTCTGTCAAAACATAGCTGAACACAAGCTAAGGGAACAAACACTTCAGTGATCACACACAACAAATAGTTTTTCCAAAAATAGTCTGGAAAAGTCTCAAGATAAATGAACTACTATCACCTTCAATGATTGGAAAAACAACAAAAAAGCAAACTCTGAAGAAGGAGAGATCTAATGTACAGAATTACTACATTATACTAGTCAAATACCCAATTTTCAACAAAAAGTCACAAGGCATACAAAGAAACAGGGAAACATAGTTCATTCAAATGAACAAAATAAATTTATAGAAAGCACTGCTGAGGAAAACCAGACATGAGTCTTACTAGATAAAGACTTTAAACAATAGTTTTAAATATTCTCAAAAACGTAGACAAAGCAGGGGCAGATAAATCAAGGAAATCAGGAAAATGACCTGAAAAAATGAGAATGTCAACAAAGAGAAAGAAGTTATAAAAAGGGAACAAACAGAAATTCTAGAGATTAAAAGTACAATAACTGAAATGAAAACTTCACTAGAGGGGTTCAAAAGCAAATATGAGAGGGGCTGGCCCCGTGGCCGAGTGGTTAAGTCTGTGCGCTCCGCTGCAGGCGGCCCAGTGTTTCGTTGGTTCGAATCCTGGGCACGGACATGGCACTGCTCATCAAACCACGCTGAGGCAGCATCCCACATGCTACAACTAGAAGGACCCACAACGAAGTATATACAACTATGTACTTGGGGGGCTTTGGGGAGAAAAAGGAAAAAATAAAATCTTTAAAAAAAAAAAAAAGCAAATATGAGAAAGCAGAAGGAAAAAAATCAATGAACTTAAAGATAGAAAATTGAGATTATTGAGTCTGAAGAGCAAAAAGAAAAAGAATTTAAAAAGCAAACAGAGCCAAAGGGACTTGTGGAGTACTTTCAAATGGACCAATATATGCATTATTGGGATCTAGAAGGAAGAGAGAGAAAGGGTTAGCAAGACTTTAGAAAAAATAATGGCTGAAAACTTCCAAAATTTGAGAAATACATGAATCTACAAGTCCAAGAAGCTCAACAAACTCCAAGTAGGATAAACCCAAAGAAATGCCACCAAGACACATTATAATCAAACCATCAAAAGACAAAGACAAACAGAGAATCTTGAAAGCAGCAAAAGAAAAGTAAATTGTCATGTACAAGGAATCCACATAAGATTATCAGCTGATTTCTCATGGAGGCCAGAAGGCAGTGGACTGATATATTTAAAGCCCTGGGGGGGAACCATCAAATGTGAATTCTACCTCTGTAAAAACTGTCCTTCATAGATGAGGGAGAAATTAAGACATTCCCAGATAAACAAAAGCTGAGGGAGTTCACTACCACTAGACATGCCCTACAAGAAGTGCTAAAGGGACTTTTGGGCTGAAATAAAAAGACTCTAGACAGTAACTGAAAGATGTATGAGGAAATAAATATCTCCAGCAAAGGTAAATACATGGGGAAATATACAATCAGTATTATTGTGTTTTTGATTTGTAACTCCACTTTTTATTTCCTATAGGAATAAAAGATAAATACATAAAAATCATTCTAAATCTATATTATTGGGCACAAAATGTATAAAGATGTAATTTGTTACATAAATAGCATAAGCAGGGGGGACAGAGCTTTATATGAACAGAGGTTCTATATGCAATTGAAGTTTGTGTGACATTTGGTCTTGCTTCTGGTTGCTGACACACAGTTCCAAAGTCCCTTAAAATTTCCTGAGTGATAGCAGCATCTTTTTTCTAATGAGGCAACTCTTGGAAGACCTCTGGATAGCTTCAGAATGGAAGCTGGTTGCTGGAAAGTACAAATCTTTACTAGAAGCTTCGAACTTTCAGCCCTACCCCCATGTCCCAAGAGAGGAGATGGGCTGGAGACTGAGTTCAATCACCAATGGCCAATGATTTAATCAACCATGCCTACATAATGAAATCTCCACTAAAATAAAACCTAAATGACAGCTTGGGAGAGCTTCCAAGTTGGCTAACGCATTGAGGTGCTGGGAAGATGGCATACCTCGAGAGGGCACAAAAGCTCTGTGCCACCCCCATCCTCATATCTTGCCTTATGCATCCAATTGTCTGTTTCTGAGTTATAGCCTTAATAATAAACCAGTAAACATAGTTAAAGAGTGTTCCTGAGTTCTGTGAGCCATTCTAGCAAATTATCTAACCTGGAAAGGGAGTCAAGGGACCCCCCAATTTTAGCCACTAAGTCAGAAGTACAGGAGGCCCAGGACTCTTGGCTGGCATCTGAAGTAGGGGCAGTCTCATGGGACTTAGCCCTTAACTTGTGGGATCTGACACCAACTCCAGGTAGGTAGTGTCAGAACTGAATTGAAGTGCTGGAAACTCAGTTGGTGTTTGCAGATAATCAGAATTGTTTGGTGTCAGGAGGGGGAAAAACCCTCTCATTTGGTGTTAGAAGTGTTATGAGTAAAAACAGCTCAGTTGATATCATCTCAAATTAGACTGTCATAACATTAGGATGTTAAATGTAATACCGGTGGAATCACAAAGAAAATATCTATAGAATATATTAAAAAAAGGAAATAAGGGAATCAAAATGTGTCACTAGAAAAAAGTCAATTAAACACAGAAAAAGCAGTAATGGAGGAAATGGGGGACAAGAAATTATATAAAACATACAGAAAACAAATAAATTGGCAGACATAAATCCTTCCTTATCAGAAATTACTATAAACATAAATGGATTGAACTCTCAAATAAAAAGGCAGAATAACTAAGAAAACAATATCCAACTATATGCTGTCTATAAGAGACACACTTTAGATCTAAAAACAAATAAGTTATAAGTGAAAAGACAGAGAATGATATTCCATGCATATAGTAACCAAAAGAGAGCAGGAGTGGCTATATTATTATCAGGCAAAATAATATTTAATTCAAAAACTATTATGAGGAAAAGAGCACATTATATATTCATGAAATAGTCAATTTATCAAGAAGATATAAAAATTATAAACATATAATGCACCAAACAACAGCATCCCAAAAAATACAAAACAAATTTTGACAGAATTGAAGGGAGAAATAAACAGTTCTACAATAATAAATGGGAGCTTCAATACTCCACTTTCAATAATGGATAGAATATCTAGACACAAGATCAATAAGGATATAGATGGCTTAAACAACATTATAAACCAACTAGTCCTAATAAACATATATAGTGCAATCTACCAAAAAACAGAAGACACAACAAAAACTAAGCAATCCAATTTTTAAAAGGGCAAAGAACTTCAACAGACATTTCTCAAAGAAGATATACAAATGGCCAACAAACACACAAAAAGATGCTCAACATCATTAGTCATTAGGGAAAGGCAAATCAAAACCACAATGAGATACCATTCCCCACCTCCTATGATGACTATTTAAAAAAAGAAGAAAACAATTGTTGGTGAGGATGTAGAGGAAGATACTTGTACAACAATGTTTATTGTGTCATTATTCACAATAGCCAAAAGGTGGAAACAACCCACGTGTCAATCAACAGATGAATGGATAAATTTACAATGGAATGTTAATCAACCTGTAAAAAGGAATGACACTCTGATACATGCTAAAACATGGATAAATCTTGAAAACATTATGCTAATTGAAATAAGCCAGACACAAAAGAACAAATATTATATGATTTCACTTAAATGAAATATCCAAAATAGGCAAATTCAGAGACAGAAAAGCTATTCGGGCTACCAGGGGCTGGAAGGAGCAGTAATGGGAAGTTATTGCTTAATGGTTACAGACTTTCTGTTTAAGGTGATGAAAAAGTTCTGGAAATAGAAAGTGGTAATAGTTGGACAACATTGTGAATGTAATCAACAATGAATTGTACACTTAACAGTGGTTAAGAAGGCAGATTTATGTTATACATATTTTACCACAATATGTAAAAATAAGGTAATATTCAAAAACTATTGAATTATATACTTTAAATGAGTGAATTGTATGATATGTAACTTGTATCTCAATAAAGTTATTTTTAAAAAATTTACAAACTTACAAAGCTACAGTAATCAAGACAGTGTGGTACTGGCAAAAATATAGACATGCAGACCAGTGGAACAGAATTGAGAGCCTAGAAATAAACTCTTACATTTATGGTCAACTGATTTTCAAAACACATGCCCAGACAATTAAATGTGAAAAAAAATTCTTTTCAACAAATGATGCTGGGACAATTATATATCCACATGCAAAAGATTAAATTAGATCCTTACCTCATACAATACACAAAGATGGATCACAACCCTGTCTCCCGCCCTGACCCCAGTCTTTCTCTTAAGTGTCCATGGAAGCTGATGGAGAAGACCCTGCAAGTGTGTGCACCCACCCCTTGCATCTGTGGTACCCAGGGTTCTATACTCTCATGTAAGCCCACAGTCGGGCATTAGCAATTCATTAAAAAATTTAGCTGCTTTT